CCCCAAAACCCCAAAACCCCAAAACCCCATAAAACAATATAAATGCAAATATATTGATAATTTAAATTTAACGATTAGATATATAAATGTCATATCACATCTCAGACCCACTTATCAGAGCAGAGAACGATTAAAAGGATCTTATAATTGCTTAGCTTAAAGCTGAAGCTTTTGAACTTAGATAAAAGGATAGAGATTTTAGGTCACTTCATGAGCAATATCTAAACATTTAACACAAGTATCAACTACTTGTGGATGAGAAAGTAAAATTTAGATAATTTAAATCTATAGAAACGAAATGAAAGTGATTTGTAAAGTAGGATTGAATACTAGTTTTCTGCTTCAAGAAGTCTCAAAAGAGAAGCTGAGGACCTTTATGCTATCAATGAAGATTTGTAAATTATGCTTACATCAAATATTTAATTAGACGTCGTAAAGGAGATGACTACAGTGTGGATCATCAAGGACTTCTAAGAATGAGTGATGATAAATTAGAAAGAATCGAGGCAATGAGAGCTGATATTCAAAGAAAAACAGATTTAAATCACGCTTTAAAACTTGACATTAGTGATTAAGAAAGAGAAGCCCTTAAACTATCAGACGAGGTGAAATAGCAGCTATCCTAAAATGATGTGGTTAGAAGTCAAAATATCTCCAAATAAAAGAAAATAGAGATTCAAGAAAAAGATAACTGGCATTTCCAAAGTGAGCTAGAAAGATTAGTTGCTAGAAACCAAGACCATTTGCAAGAAATTGACGGAGTAATCAATTTTATTAACAAAAGCTTAATTTTAGAAAAGAGTATAAGAAAATAGATAGGAGCAAGAATTAAGAGAGAAGTAGTAATAACTTCAAGATATCAAAGATCGAATCAATTAATATGAAAAAAGTATTAATGATAATGAGAGGAGATTATTGAACGAGAATTAAAGATAAGAAGAAATCTCATAGAGAATCAGATAGCAAAGAATACTTGTTGATGAATCAGACGAGAAACTCAGAAGAGCTTAATTAAAGAGAAAAGAAATTCAAGCTGAAATAGAGAGAGCCGATCGTGAAAACTCTGATCTAAGAAGGGCAAAAGCTAGATCAGAGGATGAAACAAAGGATCTTTAGACTTAAATTGAAGCTCTAAATAGACACATCGAACTGCTTGGCAGGTAAAACGATGAGCTTGCTCAAGAATTGCAAATAATGGTTGAAACTGATGAGTTAATTAGAGAAAGACTAAATAGAAGAGAAAGGGTGCAGTAGATAAGAGGCAAAAATGAAGAATAACTTTACAGATCATAAGCTCATTTAGAGAGATCTAAATCTCCTACTAACAAATACAGGCAATTCTGAAAAAGCCTCTTAATAAATGAATGAAAGACAATTTAATATGATCATTTAATATTGTGCAATAATTTTATATTTAAACATTTACTCTATTGAGTATATTTAACAAGAATGGGGTTTTGGGGTTTTGGGGTTTTGGGGTTTTGGGGTTTTGGGGTTTTG